ATGTTCAAATTACTGAAAAGGAAAATGAAAAATCAATTAACCTTGCTTTGCAGCCAATCGGGCCAAAATCATCAAGAACTATATCGAGCTAGTCCAGAACTTTAGGCTTTAACAAGCTTTTGGCTTCAATAAACAGGAAATAAACACGATAATCGGCATCAGCATTCAACAATATGCTACCAAAATATACTCGAAGCAAGTAACGTAGATTTTACAAATACAAAAAATGAGCAGGTCACAGACAGACTCACGTCACTCACCGGTCGCAACGCATGCACCGGCCATCGCAGTCGTAGAGGCTGAGGCAGAGTTCGTAGTTCGCATTCGCAGCCGCGGGCAGCAGCCAACGTGAGGGTTTGCCTGATTCAGCTGTGTTTGGAACGTATTTGGCATGGGAATTGGGATGTGGTAAATGGTTTAATGGGCTTGGACCTATTAATTGATTTTGAAATTATGATTTGGGCCTAATTTTTTTTTGAAAAAGAGGCCCAATCAAGAGAACCAAAACTTTAAAATAAAAAAACCCAATTTGAAAACCTGGTCATCTTCTTCCACCCGACGCCTCTCTGCAATTCAACTATTCAAGCTTCCGGCGCTCGGAGAAAACTGAAGCTCCCGGCGGATCCAGCACGGGCGGCCGCCCCCGTCGCCTGGTGCTGGGTCCGTCTCTCCAGTGAGATTGAGGAGGCGGAATGTATGATTGAGAGAAGAAGTATTCGTGGAAGTCGAGGGAGGTTTTGAGGAGTAAAGAATAGAGGGGAGGATTTCAATGGGGGTTTTTGATCGTTGGAATAGAGTTTGTATATGCGCGGGAAAGTATCATAATTTCCAAATCCACATTTAGCTCCCGTTTGATAAACATTATTTGAAAAAAAAAATTTACACTCATTTTCAACCACACATTCACACAATAAAATATTATGCACACAAATTCAAAACTTTATCTACCTTTTAACAACACATTCTCCTAAAAATAACTATTTAAAATATTATTTTTCCAAAAAATAGTTGTCAAATGGGGGCTTAACTTAAACTTGGCATTGAGAAGAAGTTTATGGCAAGTCCTTATGGTGTCGAAATGGGCCGGGTCATCCAGGCCCGAGCTAACCCATTCTAATTTCCTTGTGAATCTTGAAAAGAATTCGAAAAATAATGTCAAATTGTGTTCTTTTCAATAGATAGTTACAAGTGAACTTGTTTTACAAAAATGGAGATTTACAAAAGATGATCCTCTGAAAGTGATCAAGCCTTCCTTTTATAGAGTTGACAGAGCATGAGGGGCTCTTCTCCATACCTTCCTCCCCATGTCCCTTTTTAGCGTGTGATTATATACTCATCCGTACCATTAAATTAGAGCAATTATTATTATTTTAAATGAATTGAGGCTTAATGTTGTATATATTTTGTTTGTTATGTGAAAATGAATTGAGGCTTAATTTTGTATGTATTTTGTTTGTAAGGTGCATCTCAATGAAAAGTGATAGAATTGACCAAAATGAACAGAAAATTGGTTAAAGTGGAATTAATCCAAAGTTTGGAGAACAAATCGCAAAGTGCTAATAGTAGATTCGGACTTAGTATCGATGATTGGAGAGATGTTGGAGTCAATTAGATGGAGTTGGAAAATGGAGGATCAAGAATACGAAAAAGGAATCAAAATAACTAAAGAATGAAATTCAAGGATCAAAGTGCAACAAGTAGAAAATTGTATAACGGTGCGCGCGAGCACAGGCCAATCCTCACGCGGACGCATGCATGAAATTCATTTATCGAGAACAAAAGCAATGAACAATACGAAGTGGGGGCAACTTCTGGGCCTGAACAGCCCAACTTCCTGGTTTGATCTAAATTCTTATGGAAAGCAAAATTCAACCTACTATTTAAGTTAGAGGGGGCGGCATGAACAAAGGAAGAGATAAAATTCTATTTTTCACCACAAGAAGGAAGCTAGCACAAGATTCAAAGGTAATTAATAGGAAAGATTGAAGATTCAAAGTCCGGGTTGAAGATTAACGAAAAAGTAATTGATTTTTCACTTTCCATTCATTGTTTTTTATTCCGGTTGATGTTTTCCCATATATTTTTGTGTAATTTGCATAATAATATGCTATGCTAATTATTTTCATGTATTGGATGAAGATGAAACGTTTTTATTCTTTATTTTTAATTTAGAACAAGTAGTTAGTTAAATTCTTGTTTTTCTAGATTAATCTTGCATTACTCATAATAGGTCTAGAACACTGTTTGATTAACATACGTGTAATAAATATTATGAATAATGTTTATTACTGTGCAATCTTAGAAATAATTGTGAAATTGAATGCATTATATTCATTCGAATTCGGACTAGGAATAGATTTGGGTCGTGACTAGAATAGATTTAATTTGTCTTGGAAAAGATAATTAATTACAATAGAATTATCGATTGTCAAATATGCATGAATGATACTAGTCACGTAATTGAGAATTGAAATAAATAACACTAGGTGAATTCGTTATCCAATACACTCATTCCATACAAATTCAAAACTCAAAGTTTACAAGCTTTCATAGAATAATTATCAAACACAATTCTTTTTTGTTTGCACACTTTGAATCTGAATAAAAACTAATACATTTGATTGAAATTTATTCCATGTGGAATGATACACGCACTCATCACGTATTATTTGTCAACAATCCTATACGCTTGCGAATTTTGCATAAACTGTAAGTGTTATGCCCTAAATCCAATCAACTTTGGACATAAATACTTAGAATATATATAATCAATGCATATATATGGCAATATCTATTATTTAATTGAATTAATATTCTAATAAATTAAATAATAGAATCCGTAGATTCAAGTCTTGGTGATTTGTTAATCACAAGGAGTTGTGATTGTGAGATACAAATTACATATGACTGAATCTTAAATCGTCCGTGGTCGAAGTAATAACGAGATACGGATATCGTTATTACGGATAGACTATCGCGTGTGGCATTCTTACTTGTGAAGTAAGTAGCTGATCTCACAAGCTAAAGTGTGGTGACATTTGAATGAACACGTGGATGTTTTGTTATAGAACAAAACATTGGAGACCCACTGAGAGATTCCACATGGATAACTATCTAAGTGTTAGTGGTTAATCTCTAACGTTCGGTAGTGGAATTGGTCCTTTGACTTGAGGTCATCATAGTACCTTATATGAGGGCAGTCATACTTTGGTGATGTTGGATGTTGCTCTGTCAAGGGTCGCTAATACAGCATCGTTCGGGTATGTCAAGAATCATATGAAGGTTGTGAATGATCAATAGAGGATTCGTCACTCTTAGATAGTAAGAGATTATGATCTACATTTTATCCAGTTAAGTTAATAATGAAATCCTTGGCCAAGGTGAACTCATAAGTCGGAAAAGAGTTTTCGACGTACATTGACTTAACAGTGGGATAAAAGATATGATCGATAATTGAGATTGACACATATCCATATCTCATAATTGATCGGATCATATTGACGAAAGGATTATAGTTTCACGGTAAACGAACAAGTTTGGTTTTGTCATACTACGTGATATTTCCCGTCACATGTATTGCCCTGACACATTGCTAGATGTCAATCTGGGACAACGAAAGTGAATTAGTGATAAATTAAAAGAGGCGTTTTAATTTATCGATTTTAATTAGATCAAAATAATAATTCACGTCGTTAGATATCGTGATCGGGAACCTAATGGGTCATACACAAAAGAGAATCAGAAGAATGAGTTTTACCAATTAATTAATTGACAAGTGTTGGATAATTAATTAATTGAGTTGTTTATTAATGGGCCGAATTAATTAATTGAATTAATTAATTGGATTAATTAATTCATGGACCAAATTTAATTAATTTGATTAATTAAATTGGATCAGGTTAAGTTTAACAGATGGGCCGAGCCCCCATTTGGACTTATATTAATAGGCTACTAGAGTTTGAAAACAGTATGAAATTTTTCATTATTCTTGCTAGCACAAGAAAAGAAAACCTTAGTCGTCATTCTTGTTCTCTGTGTGGATCACCATTGGAGGCTGGACAATTGACAGCTTGGATTGCAGATCGTGATCATTGGAGTTCAAGAAAAAACAAAAGAGTTTGCAGAATTCATCAAATGTATCATTCTCATTGCATTTTCTATTTAAACACATTGTAGATCCTCGTTTGAGAATTGAAAATTGTTTTATTTCCGCTGCGCATGTTAAGTAAATTCCCAACATAAACAACGTGCAAGGCAAGACATCTGTTGAAATGTGAAACATCTCTGAATTATTGTAGCCTTCAAATGTCTTATCCGAGAATTTGAAGAAACAATCATGCTTGGTGTACATCGTGGTATGCAAAATTATTTACACTTTGCCACGTGACATTACACCATTGAATAGTATAAAAAGACAACAGTTTTTTCATCCAATTTTGTTAATAACAGTGGCAAAATTGGCCCGTGCACCACTCATTATGCAGCTTGTACGGTTGATTACCTAGCCTAGAAAGGTCAAATGAAAATGCCTTCCAAACTGAGCATACAAGAAATATGCAGAAGTCCGGTAAATTCATTGTCTTCAGCTTGTTATAGTCTTCGGATGGCATTCATCATGCTACATCACCTGCCAAGGTAACGTGATGTCAATGATTTCATCTTACAATTTTATTACATTTGAGAAGACTCGAGCCTCAAAAGCTGCATGCCTTCTGTTTGATTTTATGTATTTGTTCTTCAGAAGGCAGGATAATAAATCTTCCACCAAGCCTTCTTGATTATTTGTTTAGGATCATTGTGTTTGATTCGTTAACAACGGCTACAAGGCAGCCTCGTAAGCTGGGACAATTGATAATTTATGGGCAGTCAGCATTCTGAGTTAACAGTACATATCCATTGACAAGTTGATAAACAGATGAGATCCACTACTCCAATTACACAATGGGTTAAAATCATGACATACATAGTTCATTAGCATTAGAATCTTGTGGAAAACTCCATCATATCATCACAATCATCGGAGAAGGAACATCTGTAATCACGGGATATTGTTCTGGCAGGCTGAATAATTGTTCATTTCCTGATAATCCTCTCAGTGCCAACGCCAATGAATAACCTAAAGCTCGAGCTACAGGCACAGCAACTGCATTTCCAACTTGAATGTACCTAAACAGGTATTGGGGGAAAAAAAATAGAGGTTATTCGAAGAGCAAAAACCAGGTGTCTCTTTCTATATATTGAACATCGCAATAACAGCAATTGTCGTTGACAAAATAGCTATTGATCAGAAAAAATTTTAAAAGTTACCTTTCTCTTATCGGACCAATAAGTTTATAATAATCTGGAAAGCCTTGTAGTCGAGCATTTTCACGGATGGTAAGAACTCTATCTTGCAGAGGATGTAATATAGTCTGACAGAAGTATTTAGGTTATGATAACGCGTTAAAAGATTTATTTTCAAATCTCCAGATGATAAGCTTTACATACAACAATAAAGCACCTGGTTGTGAGGTTCTGGCCGAGTAACAACTGTTGGAACAGTCTCATCCCACCATAACCGCCCGAATGGCCTGTATTAAATGATACAATAAGTTTACACAAAATGCAAAGTTTATTCTATTAAGAAGCAAATAAAATAAAGTATAAATAAAAAAATGCTTCTTTACTTTGTTGAAGTTCCCTGAACAAAACTCATTGCATAATCAGGAACCTGTTGTGTCCAGAAAAAGTTCATATCAAGCGAAAGAAGAAAGAGGAAAATCATAATATAATTCCATGGTTCAAAAAAACCATTTGAAGCTCACGTCTTGAATCCCGCCTATTGAGGCTATCATAAAACAGCTCAAAACCCCCTTCTAAACCATTTGAGAGGCTTACACCTCAAGCCAACTAAGGTGTTAGCCAATTTGCATTGTATTTTCAAACATTTAATTATTGGCTTTAGCTTTTTAAATTATTTCTTTATAACCTAATGTTTTACAGATTCTTTTGTTTTCCTTTTTCTACGTACACGAAAGAAACTGCGAAAGAAACTCACCATTACAATTGCAAGATGATGACAAAGAATGAAAAGAAACTTTATAATGAGGATGATGATGTTAATGATTCATGAAGATCACATTAGTATCAATGATTTAGGAAATTTCTAAGCAGTCGTAAATTTCTTGCATGATTATTAATCTGAGAACTCATTATTTTCTATTTATTTAATCTATTTTATGTTTGTTTGCAAGTTAAACTTTTAATTTTCTTAATTAGCTTTATTATGAATTTTTTTAAAAAGATTCATAGTATATTGAGCAAATTTTTTTTAATTTTATGTTCTATTGATTTCTTTTATCGTTCAGTGTCGGGGCTTATGCCACACTTCACAAAGATAAAATGCCTTAGTACAAAATTAAGCCCTTTTCCACATTTGTATGATTAAGAAAACATAACCTCAATCATACCAAAGGCTTGCCAGACGACAGCTTTACTCTTTCTACAGTGGGATCCCATTCAACTTTGTTATCAGTACGAACTCTAACACCAGGCAAATCCCTAAAGTTTGCACCCTGAAAACACAAAGGCAGATAACCAGCAAATAAAAAGTAGGCTAAATATTTCATTGCAAAACAAATCAGGTCAGGCACTTGCAAAACATTCTTTTCTATCTTCCCAGAATGGTGTGGTTAGATTTCCTAATTTTACGTGAACTATTTCCTACTGATGCTTGTCCCAGAAAATAAATAAATAAGATAAAAAATTCATGTTCTGGAAAATGTACCTTTTTCTTAGGAATTTGACATACACGCTCATAATCATCCTGATTTAACTGATAAGGGCGATGATCATACAATTCATGCTCTGACACTTCAGAGTTGGACATCACAGAGCCAGGCATCTCTACAATTTTATGTAACATAGATTCACTTAGCAAACTATGCATAATGACAAGAAAATGAAGCGTCAAAACCATAAATGATGGAGGGGGTCCCATATATGCCCACATGGCATTGACTATTCATTGGATTGAGCCTATTAAACTAAGAGGCCGTTCTCTTCGTGTTTCAGTTTTGTATTTTGAGTTTTCAATTCGTTTTGAATTTTGTGTTTTGAATGTCTATTTTGAAATTTTTGAAAATGTGTTCTTTTTGGTATTTTGAAAAATCATTTCCAAAAATTAAAAATGGAAAACGCGTTCTTTTTCCCCAAATCCCGTCGCGTGTTTCTTCCACCCTATCTCTCTCTCTCCGTTGCGTCTCTCTCTTCTTCCTCCCACCCCCCTCCGTCCCGTCTCTCTTCCTTCTTCACGTCCTCACTGTCGCGTCTCCCTCTCTTCTTCCACTTCCGTCTCTGTGAACGATGGTTGGGTGCGATATTGGCTGCGATTTTGGGTGCGGCGGTGGTTGGGTGGGACTCCTTTTCTCCCTTTTCTTTTTTATTTTGCTTCTGGTTCTCTCTGTGAACGGTTGTTGGGTGCAAATTTGGCTGTGGTGGTGGTGCGATTTTTGGCTGCGGCGGTGGTTGGGTGCGACTCATTTTCTCCATTTTCTTTTTTATTTTGCTTCTGGTTCTCTCTGTGAACGGTGATTGGGTGCGAATTTGGCTGTGGTGGTGGTGCGATTTTTGGCTGCGGCGATGGTGGTGCGATTTTTGGCTGATGGAGAGATGTTTGGATGTGGCAGTGGTGATGCAATGGTGGTTATCGGCGTTGGAGGAGAGAAACCAGTGAGATGAGCTAAGGAAGAGACAGATTGTGGAAGGGAGAATGAACAGTACTCGATTTCCCGTGTTTTCCATTTTGCCTTGATTTTGCTGGAAAACAACCAAAACGGCTGAAAAGCCGTTTTGCATTTTCAGTGTAAAAAAAAATTTCGTTTTCGAAAACGCGTTTTCGGAAATAGTAAAGAGAACGCGTTTTCCCCGTTTTGGAAAATCGAAAACAGAAAATGACAAAGAGAACGGCACCTAATTAACTTCGTCTTGATCTTGGACTCGCCCCGTTAACATCAATTGGCCCATTTTCATGTCACCATATATATGTGATTCATTTCACAGTGACGGTATGTTTATCTAACCCTAGACAAAATCTCATCTCCCATATCTTGCGCTCATATTTTTCTCATCCGATAGTTGACTTAACCGCCAGAGTGCAAATAATCGTCGAACATTTTTCTCAGCAGACCGTCTTTGCCTCCTAACAAGGTGTTCCAATGTGCAGGTGAAATTTATGTGGAGAGGATGCGACCGGAATTCTGTTGGCACATTTTTTTAGGTCAACATGTCATGACACTATTTTTACTACTGCCAATACTTATGTCATGTTATTTACATTATCAACATATTACTTGCTTCACAATAACAATACTATTACATTGAACTGTGCAAGCATGTGATTAACGACGATGCATGATAGACCCTCTGCACATCATATTTTGGAAAATTTTAAACTATCACTATTTCCCTTTATTGTCATTATTTGGAGGAGCAAATGGACACTAGCAAGTTTTGATTCGATCATCATTTTACCTTATTTGGAAGAGCAATGGACCCCAAATTTATTTTATATATGTGCGGTAGAGATATTATGTTGTGTTAAACTAAATAACTTCTTGACCTTGGACTCGACCCATTAACATCAATTGGCCCATTTTCATTTCACTATATGTGTATGTGTGTGTGTGTGTTTCATTTCACAAGCAAGATATGTTTTTCTAACCCTAGCCAAAATGCCCTCTCCCATCTCTTGCACTCATATTTCTCTCGTCCGACTGTTGACATGACAGTCAGTGTGCAAATGAGCCTGAACCTTTTTTCTTGACTGTTGACATGACAATCAGTGTGCTAACGAGATATTTCGGTGTACGGGTGATGTCTATGTGGAGGGCATGTGGTCGGGATTCTGTTGGCACATTTTTTTAGATCCACATAGTCCTCGACAAACAATATAATTTGATTAGACTCAAATTGTATCAAATGCAAAACTATTTTAATAACTAAGCATAAGGAAAAAACGTAATTAAAGTTTGTAAACATTGTTTTCAAAAGAATTCCTTAAGACGCGGCTTATGCAAGGGAATCGCTAAGTTACCATTTGTCAAAGTTCATACCTTGTTGAGGTGCGCATTCCACGACATAAATTTTAATGTATCTAAGGTGTGTGCCCCTTAGTCTTCCCTTCTCAAGGTATCTTTTATTTCTTTTTCTGGACTGATTTTCGTAGGCTAGAACATTCTAAAGTTTTTGAGAGATTGTAAACACAACTAAACTATAGAAAGTGAAAGAAAAAGGATTTGAGTATTAAAGAAGAGAACGCGTGAAAAGTGAGGTGTGCCCCACCCTCCCACATCTATAACTCTGGGGTTACAATATTATTTTCAGAAAAAAATACTTAAAAAGATTTAGAATCAATAAGTGTTCCTAAGTTTTAACCACTAGATAGATAGATTATCATTATATTTTGTTATCATTTTTCTAGTTTTCTCTCCAATTTAACGTGCATGAGAGATACCGAGTTATTAGTTTCTATGTTTTAGGTTGTATTTGTTTGACAGGTAAGACTTGTATTACTTTTAAATAAAAGCATCCATACTCTTTTTTTAGTTTATGTTGATTCCTCGTATAAATCAACAAACTGTTTTTTCCTAATCATTATTTGCTACTAAAATTGGTGTGTATAAGCTAGTCTCTATCCAATATGCCAATCTAAAGAGTGACAAAAATGATACAAATAACAATATCTATCTTTCACCATATGGTAGCAAAAGCATCTATAAAAGCACAAATTCGGCTAAAAAAAAAAAGACTTCCAAATGTTTTTGGAAACCATGAACTCACCATCCCTCCGCAGTCTTATGAAGTGCTGGAATTCTGTTTCTGGTTCAGAACCATATGGCATTTCATTGTGTGCCTCATTGTTTTCCACCTGGAGATAAATGTTCAAATCATTAACAGCATGAAGCAAAAAAAAAAGTGACAATAGGATACTTCAAATAAACATACAGGCGGGAGATCAGATATTGCATCACCAAGAAAAAGCTCCTTTTTGAGTTCAACATTACTGCCTTCATCATAAGCAACTGTGTTTGACTGCATCGGTTGGTAAACATTTTATTATTTATAATTAAAACGAATAATCTGCATTAAGTTTTTATATTAATACAGCATTTTCTACCTCAAATTCTGTAGGAATAACTCCCCTAACAACAAGATTATGTGTTGGCAAGGGATACTGCGGCAACCTCTATTTTATATAACAGAGAAAAAGAGAAAGAAGGTCAACAGTGTTGGATTAAAAAACAAATTTTCGACTAAAATTGATGAAAAATAAAGAGTAAACGATAATCAGCATTACCTCCGTCAAAAGCGCACCCCACATGAACATTCGCATCCGGAATTGTGGAAGCCCATAGGCACCAGCGGCCATCATTCCCATCCTTGTTTGATAGCCCATTCCGACAAGACGACCTAACGCATATCTCCCGAGGAAACCACCAGCAAATCTCACAATATCAACAACATTCTCCATCAACACGAATTTTGGCCTCAAATAGGCAACAATGTCCATGAAAACAACCAGTTGTTTATTTTTATCATCTGCTAGAGGATTGTCCTTGTTCCTAAACCGATTGAAGCCACTTATGCCTTGGCATGGTGGCCCTCCGCATATAACATCAACAGTCCCCTAGGCGGAAGTAGCAAAAACTGCCATTAATTCAATGTGAATATAAATATATTGACAAGCTGCTAAAAGCAACAAAAACTTACAGGCAAAGGTAAGATCTTCAGCTCATAGCCTCTAGAGACAAATTTCTTCAACTTTTCTTGGCAAGCACTAGTAAAAGGGCGTTTACCATGAGGAAATCCATTTGAATGATGAAAAACTAATGACAGAAATATCAGTTTAATTAATACCTCAAACCTTCCAGAGGCTCCCATGTGTCTTCCTCAGGGCCATAACCTTTCCAACGAATCTAAACAGAAATTGAAAAGAGTGCCGCTTAGAACATTAGCAAATGCCACAAACTGAAAAAACTACACCATTTTATAAGTGTCAGAGGGTTTGTCCATTTATTAACTAGTGTAAGATAAGAAAACAGACTAGAACAAAGTGTTAAAAATTATCCAAAACAAAACAGTGATCTTGAAACCGAGCAAGAATCTATAAAAGGACTTTGATTCAATCCAATACATAATTCATGATGATTTAATCCGCAGAACTTTTTTGCCACATCATACTGGGTGAAAAATTATGTTTATTTTATAAACATGAAACTGTTGATGGTCCTTTGTTTACAAATAAAAAAAGCCTGGTTGAGAAGCTCAATGCAATATGATCATAGGTACCTTGAAATGCATTTCAGATTTCCCATTGTCATTTGGGTCTCCGTAAGAAATTGAAAGTATTTCTTCAACTTCAAAGACTTCAGAATCCTCTTCGTTCTTCTCATCATCATCCTCTTCGTTCTTCTCATCATCATCGTCGTCTTCTTCTTCCCTGCTTTCAGGATTTCCATCAGCCGTCTCACTGTTTGGTGATAAATGGGTGGTACAGAGCTTCTCCCATTCCTTCAACAGAGACAAAAAATCCTCCGCTGATTCATTTCTCACCTATTTTAGAGAGTTGCACCGACAAATATAACTGATGAGCAAAAGTTGAGAATAAAAGATGGTGTAAACAATAAATGTGATTGTATAAACCTCCGTCTCTGGGTGATTCAGTTTGAGGCTTTCACAAGCATACTGATTAAGGTCCACAGCCCATTTCTACATTCATACAAGGCAAGATTTGTTGAATTACTAAGAAAATGGCATCATAAACTATCAAGAGAAAGAAAAGTTCAAAAAGACTAGATTATTGATGGAAATGGCATAGAGGAATCACTTACAGTAACAAGTTTAACGCCACACGTATTGGCACCAAGGCACAGTCCAGTGGACATTGCACCACATCCGGAATACAGGTCCAGGAGAGTTTTCACATTGCCATGCTCTTCGACTTCAGAACCACTACTTGCTGTTACAGCATCGGCATCAATGGAGATGGTAGAATCAGATTCACTGCTAGCTGCAGTATTGTCTGCTGAAAAAAATATCCGTGAAACAAACATACTCTATATGTCTCAATTTTCAAGACAATTTTATCAAAATGCGTGAAATATGCTGAATGTTCATCCCATAAATAGAAACAACTAAAACAATACCTGTAGATAAGCTTACAAAAGAAGAATATTCAGGCAAGTACATTCTGTCGTAGTAATAATCGCACGTTGAACTTAGTTCCTCCTGGGCATCCAATTCTACCTAAATATTACCAAAATATATTAGATCCCAATAAAAAGGTTAAAATTTGTAAGGAACTAATAAGCATCTCCAACGTACTTTTAAGGGTAGAAATGCAATTCTAATCTTATTTAAAAGGCAATCAAGGGGATTGTCATCCTTGACTTCAGAAAAGAAAACACAATTATCATCAATAAGGTTGCCATGAAATTTGATGACCTGACAAGGAAGAGAACTATGTCTCAGTACTGTTGTATCATTAAATTAATTCATAACTTGAACAGAAATTTTCACGGCAACTTACCGTATCTTTAGCCCTATAATACCATTGGGCAGTAAATTTAGGCGAGCCATCAACTGCCTCAAACATCTCTATGATCTTACAGATGTAAGAGGTTTCCCCTTCCTCAGCCTAAACCATTATATGTTATACACATATTATTAGTTACATTGCCTGTAATTTCCATAAAGCAGAACATACTGAAGCAATAATATTATGAACATGTAAAATATTCAAAAACAGTACAGATTGAATTAGTAATATATGACAGTATAAAATATTCAATGCTTTTTTTAATTGATCAAACTTTAATTTAAACTCCACGTTTTATGGAATCCACAACTTTTATCAATTTTTGATCCCCAAGTTTCATCAACTTTTAACAAAATTTGCTAAAACTTGTATCAAAATCTTTGTCAAATAACCCCTCAATTTAATTTAATATCAAAAGACCTAGTTCCAAATCAAATTTTCACCTTTACATGTGCATCATCTTCCAGATTAAACACTAGACCATCCACCTCCGCTTGGATGAAGTGACGTCTAGCTTGAATACCTTCCTGTAACCATACATAGAAATAAACATAATGCCATTGAACAGAGTTTCCATGTGTAAAGCTCCCAAAAAAAAAATCATCCTTCAAAAGAAAATGCAAAGACAGGCAAACTTGCATACACAAAATCATGTACAGATGTACTCTTGTACAAAGACATTCACTTGTATACACAATATATAAAGGACTGTTACCGGATTCTTGTTCTGGTACCGATGAGGCCATCGTTGACGGGCTTCTTCATCAGGAACCGGGTCACCCAAGAACCGGGCATTGTCTTCCTCCGACTCTTTCTCCACCGGCGTTCTACATTTCTCCTTCTTATCCACCAAAACCGGAGATTTCGAAGTACTCTCGCAGTCCCCATTATTCAACACTTCTACTACTTTCTCTTCCCCCACAACATCTCCAACGGACCCCGAAACCGAGCTGGAAGCCCCGACGGGCGCTGGCGCGGTGGAGGAAGCTTGTCTTTTACATGTCGGGTTCCCTTCGGCCCCATCCGCCGGTGAATCTTTCTTCGCCGATGTGGCTGCCCTCTTCCTCGTCATTGTTAGATATGCAGATTTTGAATGGTACTGTATGTATAGGTATGGAGATCAGTGCGTACGTGTGTGGGGTATATGAAGAGTTGGTTTCAAAAGATTTAAAGAAGCGGGAAAGCGGAATTATGAGCAATAAATAAAGTGGATTTGATAAAAATCTGGTAGGGTTCAATTTTTGTTTTCTTTTAGGTGTGTTTGATACACATTTTTTAGGAGAGGATACAGAGCTTGTTTGGGAAGGATTAAAATCTAATTAAAATTGAAAATATAGTCGTTTTTGGGTCTCACTCGTCTAATAAAAGTCAACTCCAACGACTATATTTTCAATTTTAATCTGATTTTAATCCCTCCCAAACAAGCTCACATTTTTTTTAATATAAAGTGAATATGTGGTTGAAAAAGAAGGAAAATTTATTGATATGATGGAAAATATTATTTTATTAAAAATGTGCGATTGAAAATGAGTAGAAAAATGAAAATGAAAATAAGAATGTGACTCGAACAGGGCTACATTTTTATCCATTCTCTCTCTTTTTCCTTCTCTTTTCTTATTTATTTATTCCAAGTCATCACGACATATAGCCCCTGTTTGGCACACATTCTCTTTCTCATTCTCATTCTCTTTTTTCATTTCAACCACACAATCTCCAAATTAAATAATATTACACAAAAATCTAAAACTTTTCATCACTTTTCCACCATACATTCTCCAATAAATCACTATTCCAAAAATTTTCAACCCATTAAAATGAGTGTCAAACACTCCCATAATAAACATTCAAATTAATTTTTATTTATATATTTGGAGAGAATCACACATACGACTCTTTATTCATCGTTCATTTTTATCTATTATGATTTAAGCAGCTTATAAACATTTTGCTGTCAATCAATTTTTTACATAACAGACTTCTTGTTATTTATTTTTCACTCAAAAATTGGTAAGTTGTTCATTTTGTTCTTATCGTATGATAGTTTTAATGTTAGCACCAAGGCTGGCCATAGCGCAAGGCAAGCAAGGCCACTACCTTGGGCCTCAGATTTTTAAGGGGCCTCTAAATAAATATAAAAAAAAAAAGTTCAAATCCCGCTCCAATCCAAAACTCCTCAAATTCTTTTTAAAAGAAAAAATGAGCAGAGACCAGAGAAGAATGAAACAAACCGTCTTTTTTCTCCAATCATCTTCTCATCTTCATCAAAAAATTCTATATATTCCCTACGCGACAATTGACTATTTATATTTTTCATCAAACACTCGTTGAAAATCTAGATTACCCGTTATCTTTTGATTCTTTTCATCAATCTCGTTTTGTGATTTCACTGGACACTAGTCGAATTCGCTTTGCAAGAACGTGTTAACATCTGAATTTACTTTGCCTGAAAGTGAGGACTGAGGATTGAGGGAGCACGAACTAATTTTCCATCGGAGAAGTTGAACACTCAAAAGTGAGTTTTTGTTTCTTCAACATATTTTTCTTCAATAATTTCTCTAAATGTTCAAGAAAATATAAATTCCTTTTTAATATTTATCAATGTTCTGAAGATGTCAAGATGAGTTCATAATTTATAATTACTAATTTAGTAAGTGAAATCAATTACTTGTGAAGAGATTAATTTGACAGTGAACAATTATCAATCACATGTTCTGTTATGAATCGTATTTTGTTTGTTTTCTTATTTGCTTGTTCATTTGATTTCTTAACAGCTGCAGATGACTGTGAATCTTTGAGTTGAAATCCTTGAATTGAATCTGCTGATGAAATTGAATGTTTACTACCCTTTGACTCTCTTAAACCATATGTGATGTAAATGCAAAAAATGATGCTAATATACTATGTGTTCTATTGCAATTAAAATTTAGCGATGATCGAGTTGAACAACGCTTAACGTTCTCATGTCTATTTATTGGTTTCGAGTTTCTAATACGATCAGATAATCCACTTCTTGAATCTCATTGTTATTCTAGTAGAACTTCATTTTTTATGATTATTTGTGCTATTCTCCATCAATGTCAGTCTTTGGTTGTTCTTGATATCAAATATATTGATTATGTTTTGGGTCAACAAAGTTATTGATTCTTTATATGAATATTCGGATCTTGTCTGAGACTAATTCTCAACAAGAGAGAATTGATTTTTCAGCCCTTTTTTTTTACCGTTTCTCACACACATGCAGCCCATTTCTGTGAAATTCAGCCCGTTTAGTGGTGTAACGGTAAAAAACTGACTTTTAATCCAAATTTTAAGTTACACAAGACAAGGCCTAGCTGAGATACTTGTAGCATCAATCATTATTTTAGGGGAAATTCAAGTTTTGATTCACTTTCTTTCTTTGTCATCTAGATTTTGTTCAAATTTTACAACCCAAATTTTGACTTGAAATGCCATCTTTATGACAGAAATGGCACTTAACGCTCTTATGTTTCCCTTTTGTGGATTTCATCTTTAGAATATTCATTCAGATTGTGCATTTCCTTTTTGTGGCTCTTTCATGACTTCATTTTTTTTTATCTCTTTCAAGTTTCTTGACAGCTTATCAATTGAACACAATGACCCTTTTGAAGTTTCAACCTCGTCTCTACTTAAATGAATGTAATGGCTAATTCATTGACGTTTTACTTATCCTTTATAGTCTTGTATGTAATTCATTTTCCCTCACTGCTAACTTGCCATTGTTAACGTTTTTATACTGTAAGTATGGACCGTTTATGATTTATCCTAAATATTTACAGGCCATTTATCATTGCGGATCATTTCTTTTTGGAGAAGCTTGGGAAATTTTAATTCAGACACGTCAATTAGGTTCTATTGCTCTTTGCTTATAATTGTGTTTACAAGAAAATTTGAATTTGGATGAAAATATTGAAAATTTGATTAAATATCAAGAGAGAGAATTTGATAAGTTTTTTAGTAGTAATAAATGAACACATAACGATGACGTAGTCATTAAAGAATAGTTTCATGAGAATAATAACAGAAATAATACAATTGAAGAAAAATATTGTTTGATGAATAAAGAGGTATCTACTAACAGAGATAACGAACCATTTTTCAGTGACCTTATTGACCCAGCAAATTGAGAAAATATGAATACGAATTTAAGAGATTTAATTGCGATGAAAGGTACTATAAGGGAAAATGATGTGGTTTTTCCAAAAGATGTAACAAATCGACACTTTTCCTCTATCCATTATGTTCGACGATTACCTAATGGAGAGAAGCAAGA